AGAACGTTGTGAAAGATAATTCGAATTTTCATTGCTCATCGAGTCAAATGATTGAAATAGTTTTGTTTATCAAAAAATATAGTAACAAAACGTTGAATATTAAAATTAAGATTTTGAATGGGACGGTCAGAGGAAGACGTTGCAAAATTACACACAAACAAAAAATTGCACATAATGTCGAATAGAACAAAATAAAGTATCATCACCCTGTTGTGATAATGATTTTAATTTAGTGTATCTTCTCTTTCTTTCTATCTCAATTGGAAAACCTTACGTAATATCAATACGCCCCGACGACGACGATGACGATGACGACGACGACGACGACGACAAAAGTTATTTCGTTCTAATGGTGTGTACTCATTATTATACGTTAACTCTTTAAAAGATAAATAACGTTATTGAAAAGAAAAGAAAATTAAAAAAAAAAAAAGAAAGAAAAGAAAAAAAAAACAAATTACATAACGTAAAGTGAACTATTAAGAATTTTTCATTCCTTACCAAATTCAACATAGTTTTCATAGTTGTTGCTGTGGTGGTGGATAAAGAATTTCTTGAAATAAATGTACATGCCTTTAATATAGTACTCATTTTTATTCTTCGATCAATGAAATGTTTCTTTTTTTTTTAAATTGACTCTACGTGTATGTTACGAAAAGGGTATAATTTGTGGTTCATTTAATTCTTTCTTTCTTTCTTTCTTTCGATCAACGTTGGGTCCTCCTTTTCAACAACGTCGTAATCGTAGTTTGGTCGATACTTTCCTATTTTAATTTATTTCCTCTCTTCTCTATATCTTGAAACGCCCACACGGTTACTTTCGAATTAAAACGAAATGAGGAAAAGAAACTGCTGCTGCTGTTTCGGAGTAATTTTATTCACGAGGTGCACGCAAATATTAAGAGACTAAGAAAACCGATCCATTCCATTCGCTTGAATGCCGAGTACTACTCCACACATCGATACGAAACAGTGGTTCTCATTTCATTTTATCTATCATTAATTACCCTACCATTTATATCGAAACATAACCTCTTTTATTTTTACTTATTTATTATCTTTGTAAGTATATATCATTAATCCAATATTTTTTATTCCAATACATATTGTTTTTATTCTTATTCATGAGAAATATATACAATAGATCCACGTAGACGAGTAAACGTTAATATTCGTGTTATTAAAAATCCAAATTTTCCCGCCTTATTGGAATTAATTTTCTTACCCTCCTATCCCTCCTTCCTTCACCCCCACCACCAATAAAGATCGATTATCAATGCTACCAAATATCTAACTGGCGCCAAATTCAAAATACGCGCTACCCTTGTGCGCGCACGCGCGCCACTATTCTCAGTGATTCTCATTCTTTTATTTTGTCGTTTCGTCCAGTTAGGGGGATTTTTTTTCTTTTTCTTCTTATTTGTTTTTTTTTTTTCTTTTACAACGTTTCCCTCGTTCATTTGAATATCCATTCGGGTAGAATTATTTTATTCGTTATTTTATGTGTATAAACATTGTATGTCGATGTTATTAGTATTATCAATTTTAATCGTTCATATATTTTATAGATATAAATGTTGATTTATATACGCGAATTAAAAGACAATTAATATTCAACTAATCTTCAATATTATTTTTCTTACGAATTTTCTAACCTAATTATCATCCAAGTTTGAAGGTAATCAGTATTTTTTTTTTTGTATCTAATTAACATTTATAAATAGATCTTTTATCTACTTGCTTTTTCATTAATAAAAAAAATTACATTTCTAAAATAAAGACATTAAAAAGATTTGAATAAATAGAACAAAAAATAATGCACATTCTTATAATATTTCCTTAAATATATCTATAATGATTTATATAATAGATTAAATATGCATTAGTCTGATATAAAATCTCAGTCAATGAGATAAAAAGATTGTTATTCGTTATCTAATAGGATCGAATGGTAGGTGGTACGTGTTTAGCTTCCATTTCATCTAAAGTCGTATCAATAACCGGCCGATAAGAAATACTTATCTGTAAATAATCGAACACTATAATTATCCATATTTATTGAGATTAATAAAAAAAATGAATTATTAGATATGATATATAAATAATTTACCGATCCATCATTGAAAGCCCAAGTTAACGTATGCTTACGCCAATGTTCCGAATATGGTCGCATTTTTTGATTTTCTAGAGGCTTAGTATAGTCATATTCGTCGATTCTTTCCTATAAATATATTAGTAACTATTAGAATCGTTAATAGTAAATTATAAATGTATCTATATATCTCGATAAAAGTTCGAATAATATCCTTAAAAATATAAAAGGGGTAAGGGGAATAAGAAGGCAGCCATATGCAATTTTACTTTGAAATCATCTCTTGCGTGGGAACCCCTAGATTCTTTACGATTTTCAGCTGCATATACGGTGTGCATATTAATAAGCATCATATTTTGTAATTCCAATGCTTCTACGAGTTCTGTGTTCCAAATCATCGATTGATCTTGCACCTATATTTATTCTTAATTGATTTTATATTTCTTTTTTTTACAAAAGTTAGATCATAACGGCCATTTTGAAACTAACGCATATATCAGGTAAATCGCAGGTGTAGAGTTTCGTCATTTCCCGGCATCCTCTTTGTAAAATATCGCAAGTTCTAAACACCGAACAATATTTGTGCATAGTTTGTTGCATTGATTGTTTAAGCTCGTTAACGGGGATGCAACCTTTCGCATAACGTGTCGCATCAAATCGGCAAATTGATTCTTCACCCAAATCCTTCATTTCATTGAAATAAGTTAAATGTAATGAAATTTATCAATAAGAAAATATATCAAATAAGTTTCTTAATTATGTATCAAATTTACAGGAGAAATTTCTTCGTGTCGTTCACCAGGTCTAGTAACGCAATCAATTTGATCGGCTATTGCTTTACCAAAAACAATGATTTCTAATAAACTGTTAGCTCCAAGTCTATTGGCACCATGAACGGATGCACATGCGGTCTCACCAGCTGCCCATAATCCATCTATCACACTGTCCTCTTCATTTTCACGCGTTAACACCTGATTCAGATAAGTCATAGTTTAGAAATATTTTTTTCATACGTCTTTTGTGAATTTGATTTAAAATTTATTATATTGTTTTGAAATTAATTTTAACTTGAGCTCGGTAATTTGTAGGTATTCCACCCATATTGTAATGGACCGTTGGTACCACCGGTATGGGATCCTTTGTAATGTCAACACCAGAAAATACCCATGCCAAATGTGAGATGCCTGGTAACTTAGTACGTAGAGTTTCAATAGGTATATGATTTAGTGCGAGATGCACATGATCTTTTTTAGGACCTACACCTCTGCGTAAAGGAAAAACACAAATGAAAAAGAATATCTACGCTCTATATGAAAAAGAATGAAACTCACCTTCCTTCAATTATTTCAATGGTAATAGCTCGGGAAACAACATCACGTGATGCTAAATCCTTAGCCACTGGAGCATATTTTTCCATGAAATATTCACCTTGGGAATTTACTAATTTACCACCTTCGCCTCTACTTCCTTCTGTTATTAATATTCCAGTTCCATACATTCCTATGATACCAAGAAAATGATGAAAAATGAGAGAAAATAAGGAAATAAATGATTAAATGCATCATTTATATTTCGTATTAGAAATTTCGTAGAAGAAGAAAGAGAAGAAAAATTGAAGATACACAATTATTATGATTTTTAGTAATAGTGTGTATATACACACACCTGTAGGATGAAACTGTATAAATTCCATATCTTGTAATGGCAATCCTGCTCTTGAGGATATAGCCATGCCATCACCTGTACAAGTATGTGCACCTGTACAAGATAAATAACATCTACCAGCACCTCCTGTTGCTATCACCTTAGATAATGTAAAACATATATAAATTTGTATTAATATTCATTAGCACGAAGAAAAAGTAGATGAGTCATATGAATGACAAATACGGTATGATGAGCTCTAAAACGATGAAGTATTCCTGTTTCCAATTCCCAAGCGAGAATTCCTTTGCAGCATCGACCGTGCATTAAAAGATCAAGTGCAAAATATTCTACATAATAATGTACATCGTAACGAAGACTTTGACCATATAAAGTATGGAGAAGAGCGTGTCCTGTTCTGTCTGCTACTGCACAAGTTCGATGTGCTTGACCACCTTTTCCAAATTTCAACGATTGTCCACCGAATGCACGTTGATAAATTTTTCCAGACTCGTTACGACTGAATGGACATCCTAAAGGAATACAGGAGATAACATTTTGTTACAATTATTCTGTAATATATGTTTAACAGATTGCAGAGACATATATCTCATGTTACAATAATAATACTTTCAATAAATTTATTTAAATCATTTAAATATATACCTATATTCTCTTCAATATAATCAAATATTTCAATATCTGCAATCTGTTTGTTATATAAAGAAAAAAAAAAGAAAAGCACAAAAATAACCATAATTTTCTAGCTCGTAAACTGCACGAGGTGCTTCTCTGGTTAGAAAATGTATAGCATCCTGATCTCCTAGCCAATCGGATCCTTTGACTGTGTCATACATGTGATAAAGCCAACTATCCTCGTGTTCGCTCGCTATAGCAGCATTTAAACCACCTTGAGCAGCCACCGTGTGCGATCTCGTTGGAAAGAGTTTAGTTACTACTGCTACACGATATCCTTTACTTCCTAAACCAAATGCTGCTCTTAGACCTGCACCTCCCGCTCCTAGTACCACCACGTCATAACAATGATCTACAACTGGGTAATCCTGTTAATTTATAAACAAAATGAAAATTAATGAATTGATTCATTTATTTATTTATTTATATATATTATTATCAATTTTATCACTCACATTTCCTCCATTCGTTTGAACACCACAACTTGCTTTTTCAGATGGGCTGACATTAATATGAAATTTTGTCCCATTCACTCTCCATGGTAATTTCGTCCACTGACAGAGATAGATAGAGAGAGAGAGAGAGAGAGAAAATATACAATTAAATATAATTATATTACGTTAAAAATAATCATTTTTAATATATTACGTAATATATATTTATTTATTTCTTTCTTTTAATTACCCTCGATGGAAGTGGTATCAACTTGCTTAGACATCGAGGTAACATCTTGAAGAAATACAAAATATTTTTGTTCTGATATATAATTGATAACCTTAATTATTTTTATGCTGTTATCTTCATTTGTTAATATTAACAAACAAAATACGAGAAATGGATTTCTTATTAAATCAGGTATATAAGTTTGTTACTTTTCGCATTAATTCGATTTAAAATCTAATTATTGTTATAATTTAAAATATTAAATAATAATATTAAATATATATTTTTATTTATTTTTATTACAACGGGAAGAAATCATTGATACATAAATTGGATAAACGATATTTGCAACATAGAAGAGAGAGAAAAAATAAAAAAGAAAATTAAAAGATAAATTATTGTAAGATATATTATGCTCGAGTACAGTATCTTAAAGATGATATATTTAAAAATAATATTTATGGTAAAGATGATATAAAGATGAATAGATTGATTGAATATATGAATATTTTATTGATGAGAATTAACATTAATGATCATTTTATTAAAGCAGCTATAATAATAATCATACGTATCGAATATTGTTCAGTATATTGCAAGGCGTGATATTTCGAAAATTTCTCGATGTAACATTGAAACAGAACAAATTCGTTATATCTGAACTATTAATAAAGCCTTTCAATATATTTTAATAATAAACAATATATTAAATCTATAGACCACCACTTAATCGAAGTAAAAATATACATATATTTAAAAATATTATTATAGTTATTGACAATTGTGATTGACAAATATTAATTTTTATATAAATTAATATATAATATTATATTATTATTATAATAAATATTAATCACGCGATGAGATAAAGCATTCATTTTATTGTATTTGTAAAAAATACAATTTGAATTTACAAATAATGATTATACATCGAAATTGGTATGGAAAAGAATAATAGAGAAAAACAGATAGATATAGATAGATAAATAGATAATACGTTTCGACGCGCATGCACATAAATTGTGTTTATTTTATTCATAATCAAATTAAAAAATGGATACCCAGTATTTCTCGATTTCCTATGTATATATATATATATATATATATAGATCATAATTAAAATTTAAAATAAAAATAGAAAATTTCTTGAGATGATGATGACGATGATAATAATAATAATACTACTAATAATAATAATAAAGGACACTTGATTAAATCGCATAAGTCACATATTTGTATTGCAAGTATAGTTTTGACAATATAGAAACGTTAATTAATTAATTAATTAATTAATTATTATATTTGTTTCTTAATATCTTCGTAATGAACGATTCGTCGAGTTTAAAAAAAAAAGAAAAGAAAGAAAAAATAAATTAAAAAAGAAAAAAAAGGGAAAAAAGGATAAGAAAATAATCAAAGTGCGAGCCTCTTGATACCACATTGGCAACAATACTTGGCAGTCTCGGGAAATCTTGATCCACACTCGTGACAAAATCTCGACATCCTACATTTCGTTTTAGAAATTGCCGATTGATTATTTTCTCGACGTATATTCCTCGACACCATAAGATTATCTCCCATAAGATTCGTCGTTTCGTTGTTGCCGCCGCCTGTGTTGCTGCTGCTGTTGCTACGTCCACCGTGGTGGTTCGAATATTTCCGATTTAAACTAATATTATAGAAAAAGAAGAAGACAAAAAATTACATACACACTTTCAAATTTCCATTTTATATTCCATTGCAATTCTACTATTACATTTTCTTTCTTCTCTTTTTTAATTATAATAAATTTTCTCAATAAAAAAAAAATAAAAGTAATCGAACGACGTATTTTAATAAACAAACAATTTAATTACTTTTTTTTTTGAACAGAGAGAAAAAGAAAAAAAAAAGACATTAATTCAATTTGCATAGAAAAATTTGTAGGAGAAAAAAAATTTGCGTTAGAATAAAAAACAAAAAAAAGAATAAAAATAAAAATGAAAAATACAAATGCAATAATAACGAATATTTGTGATATTGATGTGAAGAATGATCAAAAATAAAAATAAAAATAAAAAAAGAAGAAGAAAATATATATATATATATTAACCTGCTGTATGCGGAATCGGCATTAATTTTATTTTCTTGTTGTTTGTAGTTGTCCGTAGATGAAAATTCCTCGTCACTGATTTGTCCATTATTAAATTGATTGTTATCGTCATGAACAACAGTTGTACCATGGTTGGACGAAGAAGTTCTCAAGGATTCATTTCTAAGGAGGGACCTCAAGGAAGGGAAAGAATCATTACCAACGATATCATCATCGTCTAATGAATTTATCAATTGATCGAAAACTGAATTCGAACGTTTCATCATATCTATTTCGGATGATGAAGATGATACGATTGAATGAAGATCGTCGCTATTAGAATATGTTAAATAATCATTTTCAATATTATTATTATCTAATTTAACAACAACCATTGATTTATTGTCATTATCTTTAACATTACAATGTTTTATTTTTCTTTGATAAATAGATTTAGGTGCTGAATATGCGCGAACGTTTTGCGATTTATTAAATTGTGATTTTGAGATTTTCGTTGACGATCCTCCTCCCCCCCCTTTGTCCAATATTTTATTAGAAATATCATTTTTATATTGTTGTTGTTGTTGTTGATGACGATGATGATGATGATGATTTATACTAATAGATTTATCACGATGATCAATATCATTTCCCAATGCAATGGATGGTTCATCGAGGATCATTCTACGAGCTAATTCTTTGTTCATCATTTTATTTTCACGATCATTTAATTGTTTTTTATCGTTTAATTCTTCTTGAATAAATAATTCCTGCGATATCGAATTAGTTTCCGTAGAATCGCTAGAAAAGTCCGACGTTAATTCGTCATACTCGTTGGTAATGGATTTTTCTAAATGATTTATTGTTTTAGATTGATAAGAAGGATATTTAACGAAAGCGGATGAATGTGAAAGAGGAAATGAATGTGATTTGTTAGAAGATGTTGAAGGAATTTCCGTCAAGGATAAATCACTTGAATCCGATAATAAATCGTTCATTTGTCGTTCTGCTAATAGAAAAGGATCGTATTCCTTGCAGGTATCACCACCACTGTAACACATACATTACGTTTTTCCTATTTTTTATTTTATTTCTTCTCCTTCTTCTTATTCTTTTTCATAACTTTATAATTATTTCTTTTTTATTTTTTAGGTATTTTGTTTAATGACATTCTCATATTTATCAAACAAAAAGAAAGAAAGACAAAAAAGTAGAAGAAGAAGAAGAAGAAAATGAAAAATATCAGCCTGTATATGAAACGTTTGATATAAAATACACACGAGAATAAATAATATCGTTAAAATTCCATTAAATGGGATAAACGATATAAAAAGAGAGAAATGACTCGTCATGCATAGGTAATATCATTTTGAACAACTGTTTGAATGTTAATCGGCGCATATATATATGCGTTCACAGTGTGTTAAAAGATTTAACATCAAAGAAACTTAATAAATATTTACTCAATATATAACGTATACGTATTCTAATATAATTAACAAACTAACGCGTGCAACTAATATCTATTAGACAATCCATGCTAATAAATGAATGAACACGTCATAGAGAAAAAAAAAAAAAGACAGAAAAAAAGGGTCAATATTATAATGAATGGAAAATAAAATAAAAAAATGAAAACGTGCAGAACTATACCGGACTTACATTCTACACCTAAGCACGAGATTAAAATCCGGTCGTCTGCGAATGTAATTACTCCATAGAGGACGATTAGATGAATTCGAACTCCTATAAATTCGATGGAGATCGGTCGATTTCGATATTGATATCAAATAATTGTATCTTTTGTTTTTTTTTTTTTCTTTTTTTTGTTTGTTATTATATAGATTTTCACCTTTGAATCCTTTGCGAAGAGGAAGAAGAAGAATCAATAAGGACTGGTGGAAGGATACGGATTTTTGGATTTCTTTTGTGAAGCCTATTATTTTGTTGTTTATAATTGTATAACATTGGAACATTGTTGTTGTTGATGATGGCACGATCATTAGATAATGTCAACGTATCATTCAAATAATAATGTTCATTTTTATTCGTTGAAATGTCTCTTTTAATAATTTCAGGTAATGTATTAGATTTTTCATAATGATATTCTATTCTATTAGATAATTTATTAACGTTATTATCTTTTATTTTGCTGATTGAATTGAGATTTTTGTATCGTTTGTTATTAACATAATCATTCTCTTCTATGGACGATATCAAAGTATTCGTACTGCCACGAAGTAAATTCATGTTCTCTTGAATTTTACTATTTATTTTGATTGATCGAATAATCGTTGGTGTTTTCGAATGAATCGTTAATGATCTTTTTAAATCATTCTCGTAATCTTTACGATCGATTATTGTTGACTTTTTATGATCCACATTTTCTTCATCTTCTTCATCATCATTTTCTTCTTCTTCTTCTTCTTCTTCTTCTTCCTCTTCAGTAGAATATTTAAATTGTTCGTTTGCATAATTCTCATATATGTTATGCAATTGTTCGGACTTTGTATCAATTTGATCAACAGATCTACGTGACTTATATGAATCATTTTTATCTATATACTCTTTGACAAAATTTGAATGATCGTTTGAATGATCGTTCTCAACATTATTTACTTTATCTTCACTCAACGTCATATTCATTTCATTCAATTTGATATTTTCTTCTGACAAATTGTTAGTATCATTAATAATATTTTCTATTTCCGATGGAGATGATAATGTAACGATATTATCGTCTATCACATTATTTTCAATTACTATATCCGTATAAAACAATTCATCATTATGATTATCATTAATAACATTTTCTACAACCTTATCGTATTTTTCTATCGGATAAATCATCGTTTTAGCTTCCGTTAAATTACAATTATTAAACGTTAAATCATGATCGATGTTCTCGTTATTGATCTTAACATTTGCATGATTAATTTCACGATTAATTTCATGATGATCGTTTTGAATTGAAATCGATCCAACCATTAGATCATCATCATCGTCGTCATCATTATTATTATTATTATTATTATTATTATTATTATTATCGTGAGAATCTTGTGTAACATTAGTATCCATTAAAATGTCACGATCGTCCGAATCCTTGATCAAATAAGTTTGATTTAATTGTTGTATAGTATTCGACCAAGTTATCATTTTCATTGGATCATTTTCAATAAAAGAAATATCATCCTGTTTGATAAATAAATCTTCCATTAACGGTATCATCTCTCGATCATTATTATCTTCATCGTCGAATGATTTATTATACGATTGTAAAGAAGAATGTATTATCTGTTGATGACATTTCTTAGATGATATTATTTCATTAATAACATTATCATTGATATTTGTGTTAGATCGATTATTACTGTTCTCGCAACGATTCATTTTCATTTCTTCCCACGTAATTAATTCATCATTCTTGTCGTCGATGTTATCTTCGTAATCGTTGTTGTTGTTGTTGTTATTATTGTTGTATATATTACAAGGTTGTACGATCATTTCTAAAATATTATCGTTAACCGTTACATCGTTTACTTTGGAATCTTTTTGATTTCTAGCTGTTATCATCGCGTGATCAATTTTTATCGTATTACGATTTTTCTTCTCGCATTCTATCGTACGATCTATCGTATAATTATTATAAGATCCATCGGAATGATCATCTCTCATTTTATTATTTTCCAATTTTTTAACTTGCATCATAGTTCGTTTAATTTTGTCAGATCTCGTTGAATATTGTACGGCATCATCGTATTGAATAATCTTACTCTCTGATTTCTTCTTAGGTTTTAAGGATATTAGGAGAGGAAGATTCATATTTCTCAGTTCAGGGATGATCGAACGCGAACAGGACGTTGGTCTGAGGAGAAGGAAAAAGGGTCAGGGATAAATATCCGAGAGAAAGAGAAAACAAAAAGAGACAGATTAAAACAATGAAAAATAAAAAGAAGAAATAGGAGGAGAAAGAAGGGAACTTTCTATTGTTTCAACGACCATTGCCCTTTCCCTTCTCCTCTCGTGCATAGCACACTAATCACGTGTTTTTTTTATAAGATAATCTAATATAATTTATTAATAATAAGAATAATTAATTAACAAAAGCTTACCTATCTGTAGGATTACGTTTAATTGTCGTCTCTTTTGTTTTTCCTAATTGGTAAATAGTTTCTTTATTATTTAATTGTTCCCCTCTGCCACTGTAAATAATAATACATTTTGTGATTTCATTAAATTATAATATTTCTGTATATATTTGTAGGAATATAGACGCATATATTACATTGGATTGTGTAACCATAATCTTCATAATACTCACGTTGTACTTGGCCTTTGCGTATCGGATAAATTTTCTTTGATTTTCTCACGAGTATTGTGTTCAGGTACGGAAACAATTTCTCTAACTTTGTTAGGTGTTTTATTAACAGTTGTACAACTTTGAGAATATTTATCACGATTACTTTGTCGACGATTTTTCAAGGCCGGTGCACGATACTTCATTCGTGCCTCTAAACGTTCCTTGGCAATGTTCTTAGTGGCTGGACTTATTGGTAATCTCGTTGATCTTTCCTTACACCAAGCTACGTGTCGATCGTATGCCTTTATTCCAAATTGACGACCACAAGTTGGACACATTCCTTTTTCATTTGCTCTTGTTGGTGCACCGGAAGACGCGTGGGAAATCGATTGCCTTTGATTGATTACCATGCTTGCCTGAAAATTATATGGATCTAGGTACATTCATTATTTATTTATTTATTTCTTTATCATTTATTTCTCATTCACACATTCAATAATATTCATTTCAATAAAATGCAATATGCATTTGAAATGTTACAATTGGAATGCGTGTTGTAATCCTTTTTTTTTAATCTAATTGAAATGATCAATCATGTCATATTACATTGATTACGTTTTTTCTAGATTTACCGTTTCATTTCGTGCTGCCCTAATAGTTCGTAAAAAATCATCGTGCGTTTCTTTCCAACATGATTTGCGTTTTTCGTCATTAGAATATCTTTTCTTTTCCTGTCGAGGAAGAAATTCCGCGAGATCGGTTCCCTGAATTCTTTGCTTGGCCGAATCGAATGGTTTACGTTTTTTTATTGCACCTCGTTCGCATATTTTAAAATGTTTTTCTAAAGAACGTGGCATGAATGTTCTTCCGCAAATTGCACAAGGCAATAATACTTCAATTTCATCTCCTCCCTCCATTTATTTTAAATATCTTTCCTTAAAAGTGGTCTTTTCAAATCGGTTCAATCAATAAGATCTGTCGGTAAGTTATCGACGATAAGTTTAGAAGAAGAAAAAATGTTAAATCTGTCGGTAAATTATCGACCGTAATTTTCAAGAATATATTTAATCGATATTATATATATCGATAATAACCACTCTTCGTTAAATATATAAATTAATATATATATATACATATATAATATAAATTTATAGAAGAAAAAAAGAATATATAAAAATATAAAAGTTATAATAAATAAATGAAAATAAATGACATAATTTTATATATATATATATATATTAAAAAAAAAACAAAATAGATTATAAACATAAGTGTCTACGTACCAAGATTTTCCAGACATTTTTCTTTAAAATTTGTCACCTTATCATCGATTAATTATATCATCCACACGTAGAAAATAATTATAAAACAATACACTTTTTTTTTTTCTCTTGTAGTAATCCTTTTTTTTAGAACGATCATCTAACGATTTAATCCTTTTTCTTTTCTTTTTTTTAGGTTCAGAGATCTATCGTCGTCCTCTTCCTCAAGGTCACAGGAAAAGTACTCGAATTGTTCTATCAGACTATAAGAAAATCTAATGAATAAGAGGAGTAGTTTGATTACCTGCGACTAAAGTTGATATTCTTCTTGAAAATAAACGACGATCAAGACGACGACGATTAAAACAACGATGAAGAAAACAAGACGTCATGTCGGCCGCCCCCACGATATTAAGCTCGCCTACGATATTTTACAAGCAAGCTTCCTTTTATGGGAATACGATTATGACATTTTAAACAACGATGAGGCATGATAAAATAACTTAGTGTCAATATAAGTTTATAATAATATCGTTTAGAAACAAAAATTATTCAATCTCTTTCTCAACAGAAAAAGAAAACAAAAAGTATCTCATCTATAATATAATCACAAAACACACACACACCTTTATTAATTTTATTAGAAAATTTTGATGAGATAAATAATAACGAGGATAATATATATTTAAAATAAAAAATAAAAGGGGAACAAAAATGAATAATCTTTGTAATCACTGGTCAAACAAGGAACACTTTTTAAATACAATGCTACCCCAAACTTTCGATTAATCTTGTAAGCAACGTGACGTATTGTAACTTACCCTCAATGTTTCGCCATGACAGTTGTTCAAAAGGGGAAACATTAGTTGCTATAGAAACCATCACAATTCGATGGGAAGGGAGAAGAACTGTTATTTGTTTTGTATTATCTGATTAATTTATTAAGTCGATATTTATTTGTTTTTCTTTTTTTTTTTGTATTTTATTTTTTTAATATATTAATCTTCATCATAATTAATATTTTTCTTGTTCATAAACATAGAAAGATCGTAGAATCAAAAAAATGTATTTTAATATAAGGAGAGATGATGATGATAATAGGCTTGCTTGTTTTTGTTTTAGTAGGTAATAGTATAATACGTTGCAAAAAGGTTTTTAATAATTAATCGTAGGAAATAGAATAATTAAAAATGACAATGATTATAGTCTACACATATCATTTATTATTCCTTTTCTTTACACATCAGTGATTCTACGATCGTTGGTCCTCGATCGATGATCTCTAATAACTCCTTCAATCATTTTGTACGTGGATCGAGTTATTATTATATCAATGAAAATGATGAAAATGATGAAAACCGAATAATGAATTATACGGGGTGTCCCAATTTCTTATAGAGTCAAATTTTACCAATGTATTATTCTACGTGGGCAACAACAACAAAAAAAACAAAAAAATAAGATAAATAAAATGTCATTATAAACACACATCTGTGTGTGTGTGTAATTAATTATACTTAAATGTTTTATATTACAAGATTATAATTAAAAATAGAATATATGATTGAGAATTAATATTTTGTTTTGTTTTTTTTTTTTTTTTTAAGTCAAGAATTATTAATAATATACAACACAAAATTACCGATGTATTTACAGAAATGATGGAAATATTAATACGAAATTAATAATGCAATAGATTCTATTTTATTCTATAGATATATATCAGTTCTGTATTCATAATAACGGAAAACATTATTGAAATGGAATTATAAATGATTTTTAATTGTTTAATATATCAATCAAAAACAATATCGGTTAATTATTAATTTATATTTTTGTTTACATAAAACACATTTGAAGTGTGCCTATATATTTATAAGACATTTATGTCTTATTTTTGCTTGTGAAAATATGTTGGTAACGTTTGACGGGGGAACAAGAAAAAAAAAAAAATGGAGACACCTTGTATGTATATATTACCGTTCGAGTGTATAATCCAATTAATTCATGAAATAACTAGATGTTTTACAACAAAATAAAAAAGTATATATAAAGAATTATATTATACACTTTTTAACTCTCGTTGTTTTATGAAATTACGCGGTAATATATGAATTTACGAGATACGAATAATTAAAGTGTGAATATTTTATATTTCGAGAACAAATAACATTCGCTTTTGAAGATCATAAAATGAAAAAAAACAACGAACACATATTTTTTGTTCTCGTAATTACAAAAAATGAAATCAAGAATGCAATGACCGAATCAATCAATCAATCAATCGAAAATAATTTCACATGTAAAGAAATCGAAAAAATATTTTCCTTATAATATTATTTCAAAACAAATTTCTATTTCATACTTTTGATTATTTCGCTTTTCGTTAAAATTCATATATTATATTATATAGTTAAAGTAAGAGCAATTCTGTTATTTATTTCATACCTTAACTGATAGGTATAATTATTTGACGTAATAGAAGCTAGTTATTTCATAAATATAACGAATTTCACGTTTTAACA